GGCCCGGCCATGAGTTTAAGCCCCCAGGTCGGGGATTTGAACCATGGCCAACTACAGGGGAGTCCAATGACACAGCCAGTACAACACCAACTGCTGGTCCCCTGTCTTTAAATGGTTGGGGGAAAAAATTTAAAAAGAACACTATTTTGTGGCAAGTGAAGATAATACAAGATTATCATTTCAGTGGCCATAAACCAGTCAAAAGCTCCTTCCATGATAGAGCTGAGAAGGCTGATCAGAGACCGTGTGGACCAGAAGGCCTAAGATGCACTAAATGGCCCGCTACAGAAAGCGTGCCAACTTCTGTAGTAGGCTAATGCCTCCCAAGCCGGGTTCCCAAGATTCCACAGTCAGGAGGGGTTGTGAAATGCTGAGCTGAATGAAAATTAAACAGGCTTCTTTACCGGATGGCTTTGGGAGTCTTTAAAGTGCTTCTGTGCTCTGTGATGGTCAGGAGGGTGAGGGGTAGGCAGTGCTTCTCTGACTTGAGCACTGAACCCTTTTTCCAAGAAAATGCTATTAGCATTTGGCCAAAAGTGTTCCCTGGAACTTGGTTTGACAAACACTCTCATGGGCACAGCGGCCTCTGGAGGGTTTTCAACAAGGGGATGATGCAATGTGATTTTTATTTGCTTCCTGTTCTCTGGTGCTTCACAGATCACACAAAAATGAGCATTTTTCATGGCTACAGGAATAAAGGGGGAATTCTGCTATCACAGATCACACAAAAATGAGCATTTTTCATATTCTACAGGAATAAAGGGGGAATTCTGCTGTTCATAACCAGGTCCATCTGGGAGCTTAGCTTCCCCAGGCTCTGCTGGCTGCGCCAGAGGCTGAGGGCCACTGCATGGACCCTGCAGCCCACCCACAGCCCTTCAGTGAGCGGAGGGTAGAATTAAGAGGAACAAGACAAAGACCAAGGAAGAGGTGATGATGGCTGTGGTGGGAAAGGAGAATGCAGATACTCAGGAAGCCTGCTGACGGCTTGGTGATGGAAAGTCGGACAGGAATTGGTGAGGAGGTGGCAACTGCTGGGTCCTCTGTCGGGCTTGAACAACTGTGGAGGTGTTAGCGCCGTGCCGCGTTCAGCCAGAACCCCAATTAAAACACAAAGCAATGGAACTGCTGGTCCTACAGAGATGACTACACACCTCCCTGCCCTCTTTCATGTTCTTAAACTGGGAATTCCAAACTGGCCACCTCGCC